GTTAGAGCAATGGGACGGAAACGTTTGGAAAGGGTGCTGTATCTGCACGGTTTTGGAATGGGAATGATCGTGACGGGTCTCCAGCAATCGGGAATTGAATATGTATTGAAAATAAAACGAAGTACTTTAAGTTCCATCAGTGAAGTGGCCCTTTTCCAAGGCTTCAACTAGTCTATGTTTATGGTAAACACAATCAATACACAGCAGTTATCGTTTAATGTTTTACCCCTAAACTATTTACAATTTCCTCATTATCTGCTCAAATGATGCATATATTCCTGAGCCTTTATTACCTTTTCTTTATTGACGCCTATTCATTGTAATTCTACGGAGGACTATCAACATTGTAACACACTTCACTGATTTCCCCTGCTTCACGTAATCGGTTTCATCCGGTGATAGACCTTGCAACAATACCGTATCCGAATCGTCAAATCCAGCTAACAATAGTTTTACTAAGTGTTTTCTTCAACCATCAGATTTAAATGCAATATACTCTCACCAGGACAAGGGAATACAGTGCTCTAGTCCTAGGTTTCCTTGTGAAATACCTTGCTAAACTTTCAATGATGAATGGTCAATTTTGAAATGAGTTGCGCTAACATATCCTAATACCTTGATCTGCACCAAAACCGCTCTATTCGAGTATTTATTTCTTCTTCCTTTGGAATAATTTAAATCACTTATTTATGTAACTCATGACAAAAATACCAAAGAGCAAAATGATCTGAAGAACTCACCTCCTGGGATGAATGAATCCAGTTACTTGACCGAGTTGAACTGAGTACCCGGGATCTGTTCAACTATGTGAAACAAGGGTTTGCACAATGTATCCATGGTCATTTCGCTGCATCTGTACACGTGCATGCTGCAGTCAAAGTCATTTTATATAGTCAGTGAGATAACTACCGTGAAGAAGACATGATTGCTAATCACAACGCACAACACAACAACAGTTTTACTGTGTCGTGTTGTGCGTTGTGATTAGCAATCATGTCTTCTTCACGGTAGTTATCTCACTGACTATATAAAATGACTTTGNGCAGTATGCACGTGTACAGATGCAGCGAAATGACCATGGATACATTGTGCAAACCCTTGTTTCTGACTTCTCTGTTCAAATTTGTGACGGGAAAACATTGCTTATGTGAAACAAACACAATGAGCCTTTATGTGACAGAACATGGGGATATCAATGGATTGTACAAAACTACACCTTCCAACGAGTCGAGTGATACCGCAAGACTAGATGTGTGGTGTCTCTAAGTTGAGGGCAGATGCAGCAGTGGATTTTACGTCCTTTCTTTTCTTCCCACTTTTTTCTGTTGGGCAAATATAGTGATACAAATCAATTTTCATGGTAAAGGAAGCAGCCAATCAATGGCATGTTACATATGGAAAAGGAGGAAAGTTGTTTGATAGTGGTGGGATTAAAATGCACACTTGTCGAGGTGAGAAGTTGCTGATCCTAGCTGCTTTACCACCTTTGCCTAATACATTTCATATGGATCCTGAAGTATTTGAGCACATACACACTCAGTGCTTCGATAATTGGTGTCCAAAGATTATATCCACTGAGTAGCTAAACAATCAGTTTTGTTTGTCGGAAATAAATGTGACCCACTGTGTCATTTATTTGATAACTTTTAGAGACTCCAGTTGGTTATGCAAACTTCTTCAGATCATTTGATATGACGAAAGAAACATTTCTACCTTAATTCCAAATTTAACACACTCCGTCGAAAACAGACAATAGTTCAAAAGGTTTTTAGTTTTTATGGACTTAATTACCTTGAAGATAAACTTGGAAATACAGATGTCAAGCTCATTGTTTTTTATTTCAATTAGAAACTGCTTGCGCATCTTTAATGATAGACTGAGCAAAGATCGTTTCAATGAATGGAATCCCTTTCATGAGTAAACATTATTTAAAGTTTTGGGTTGTACTCCTACGGTTCAGCAAACTTCAGAATTCGTAGTTCATGCGCAACACCGATTTTACTGTCATTGATTTTATCCATATTTTTTCTTTTCTCTTCGCCAGCCTATTTGGCATACGACATTTTGGAAACCATGGATGATGAATCTGAATCTGTAGGAGACTCTAGTTCAGATACTAGCGAGTTTTCCGACGGGTCTGGCATTGAATTTTTAAAGTCCATTCAAGGTGATCAAACTCGGATCAGTATGAAGAAGATTAAGGAACGCAAAGTGTTACACGTTTCACACGAACGTCAGGTTGGAACTGAGATTCGTCTTGGTTTGACGCAGTAAGTGATGCCAACATTTATCCCAGCATAGAATAGGAGACTAAATTCGGAAGCTCTGGTTGTCCGTATCTCGCCAGACAGATCAATTTTTGCCGTCGGGCTGAGCAATGGAGAAATACGAGTAAGTCAAATTTATGCGTTGCCTATAAAGTTGATCTTAAGCTGTTCCGACTTTCAGAAAATGCGCCTCAGGGATTTGTGATGAGATTGAAGAGTAACACTGAAACACTACCATGCACGGACATTCGATTTCCAATTGTTGGAACTACAGTTTCGGGACTGAATAAATACATACTATTAGCTTCTTGTAAGTTGGTTGTCAGATAAATATTGAGAAGATAGATGCCTCCGGTTTCATTCGACTTTGGCGTTATACCGGTTGCGCGGCAAAAATTAGTCTGATTTGTCACTGGGAGGAAACAGCAGCAGAGGGTACAACAACATATAACACAACAGGAAACCATAAAAACCAGATACTTTGTCTGTCAGTTTCGTTCGACGGGCAGCGTTTCGTTAGTGGCGGAACTGATGCTCATATAAGAGTGTATTCACTGGCAGTCAACTCGACTGGTCGATTGTTCACTCCCTGGTAAGTTCCAACTATCTGACCAAACACCATGACCACAGTATACGAGCAGGTACTTCCCCGGGTCACACCGCCCGTATTACCGCCTTGGCATATCACCCGCGCGGAAAACGAGATAATCTATACGCTCACATATTCTTATCGGCAGGTTGGGACGACTGTATTAACATTTGGGATGATCGCAATGCAGTCTCATTATGGTAAGATTTGAGTGCAGCATGATTGCAACCGAGGATTTTCAGGCAATATTATGGTCCACATATAGCAGGCAATGATGGTATGGATATTGACCCAGTAAAGAACCTTATCCTGACGTGCTCTTGGAGACGAGAACAATCTATTGTTCAGGTATTTTTATATGTTAGAATTTTTACCGCAAAAAGATGTGGAAGTTTCCAGAGTTTATCATCAACGCGGGCAGTGAAACACATGATCATAGTAAGGATGAATACACGTCGCCGGTTTTACAATTCGCCTATGAACCAAAAATGCGCGGCTCGCAGGTAAATTGAATCTCTTTTTCCTCTCATTTTGATAAAAGGTGATATAACTTCAGTTGACTGGGCTCCCTAGGATTCCAATCAGTCAAACGATTGAAGCGACGGACAAGTTATACAACAACCAGTCTGATTTCACATTAATGAGTATTAATGAGCGAATTCGTTTTTTAGTTTTGTACATTATATCAAAAGGTTGATAAAAAATAGTTCCGAAAACAGTGCCGATAAGCTGAAGTATATTATGAGAAACTTTTTCTAAATAGTGTATTCAAATGGATAGAGATACAAAAAACATGCTGGAAAGCTGTATTGCTCATTTTATTTCAACAACAACAACAGCAGCAGCAACAACAACAACTGAAGTAAATCGATTTTGCGAAAACCAAGTGCTAAATTCAGACAAAAAACTTGGTCTGTTTCTGATCCCAACGAGTCAAACAATAACTGAGTCGGTACAGCTTGAAAGTCAGCACACTCTTCATGTATTTTGTGGGCTCTGGATTGGGTCAACAACAAAAATATATGATTCTATTGGCTAATCGATTGGACCAGAACAGAACCCGAAGCCTTCCGATGAAACGAGAGAAAGGAGGAGTGAATGAAATGACGCATTGAGAAGAAGAAAAGAGTGATTATGCGTGTCCCAGATAGAGTTCGATTTCGCGGAATTTTATGAGACATGGAGAAGCAAGAATCTCGAAATTTAAATGATTTTAATACCGAATTGTCAACTTATTCGTCCTGAATCCTACGCTGCACTCCCAAGTGTCTCAAAGGACCTCTAAAAATATCTGTATATCAGATCGATATCATAGCACTTTGTATTCTATGGTATGTAAAATCCAGGTTCAATGACGTAGTTTATAGCTGACATAACTGGAAGCATGAAAAAGAAGAACACCATCGTGTTCACTCATCGTCTCAGTGGTCATTCGTCGGTAACATTCACAGTTTGGAATGATATGCATTTTAACTTCTGTTCACGCAGGATACCCATTCCTTTAACGCGTCGAGGTAAATATACCGAGAAAAATACAACCACATTGAAAAAATCGTTCACCAAAATATTGTTTTCGTCATACTCTATAAAAGAAACGGGTGTATGAGAAGTGACAACGGAAGTATGATGATTGTAGCCTCCAAGACAACTCCATCTAAAGAATAACACGTAAGTGTCTGGATAACAAACCGCAGGCCGATAGTATCTAGCAAGCAGAAGTCGTGCAGTTCAAACAGTAGCTGTGTGGCGCCGACAATACAATCAGGCTATTTGTGAAACCTTGTTTAACCAATGAAGATTTTTGTACATATTATTCAATCCCATCGGTTTATATCAATAAAAGAACCGCTACTTTCGTATTCCTCTTCCTGTATCTCGGTGACGCACATTTCCAGCCTGCCGTTGCTAGTGCGAGCCCGTGCATCATCTGGGACTGTGATCCTTAATTCGTGACTATTCCGAATGCTACAAATTGGTGTTGCGCAATGAAGGTGCCAGCCAGTGAGCAGTTGAACCTGTTTGTCAATCTGTCCGAGATCGATCAATGGGTGGAGCGGTGGTGAAGTATTCAAAAGAATATCACAGAGCCAATCGACACTATTTCTCATTGCGGCTGGTATGCTCTGATGAAAAACCTGGGATTTCCTGAGGCTCCCACAGAACTCTACTGTGATTCGTTGAAGCGGTTACTGTTTAACTCCTTGCTACCCACTGGGTTACAGGCACAGGAAAGAGTTAAACTCAATTCCTTGGAACGTACCAAAAATATATGTTATCGTGATTTCGTTTTCCAGTTGAACAAACAGACTTCGCGCCGTAATTATGGTTATCATGTAGAGGAGCAGTTGTGTGCCCGTCTGGTGACCAACATTAACAATTTGGCACTTCAACGGAAATAGTTGGAGAATTGCCTGAGGTACACAGGACCTGTGACCAGTATGATGATCTTATGCAAGTCACTTCTAACGAATCGGTAACTCTCTTCCAATGACCTGAACAAAAATCAGTTTAACTTACAGTGTCCAAATATGCACCCGAGCAACGTGATAATCATTGCACTGCGAAAACCATCAAGCCATACCTGTGGTGCGCTCCAGGTGCCATGGATGCGGGAATATTGGGCTTATACGGAGAGTGTGTAAATAGCCCCACTGTAACCTGGCAACGCTACTGGCCCGGCAAGACAAAACCAGTCCTGTATTTACTCCAAGAACCCAGATTGAGTATGCCCAACTGATATGCAAAGATGTTTGCTAAAGTCCGGCGTGTAAGACAAGTTTATTGTGAACACAAAGTATGGAGTCTATTATTTCTATAATCGGTGGTTCATGCCTATTCCGATTACCACATGTAGATCTGTTTTCCTCGGTGCTTCTCAGCAGGCCACCCCAGTATATTGTCAAACGTGTATGCATTGCACATAGTATGAACTTAACGCTCTCGTTAGGTGCAGAGTTTTCAGATAACCGCAGTCACCCACTGGAAAAAATGGTAGAACTCCATAAGTTACTCCATAAGTGTTAAGACAGGTAGTAGGTGGAAAAAACCAAGAATGGTCAAAATAAGACCTGGTACGAGTATATGGAAACCCTAACGAGGATGCTCGGTCATATAGGTCACTTTCGGCTCCGGGGATGGGGATATCGGGATCAGCACAATCACTGGTTAGAGACATCAAAGGCTTTTTCTGAGTACCGTAAACATGGTGTATTTATTCATAGTTTTGCATTTACATGTTTGAATGAGTATCGTTTTGATGAGAAGAATCATGTGTCTTTCTCGCTTTCAGACTCGCCTGACAGCTTAATGGGTACTTTGTGATCTCAGACGGCCATACATCGAATTAAATTAGGGTGATCAGAGAGATTTTTACTGAACGTGAACCTTCACAAATTGAACGCCTGTGGTTTTGCACGAAAGAATTCAAGGATATGGTTTGCTAACTTGGGGAACCTTGTCCCGTGAAAAGTAAATAAAACGTGAACGGGAAAGCTAGGAAGCTCTGGTTAGCTGTTTTGAACTGGTTGGGTCTCATCAGCAGTGTGAATCCATCGATCCAAATGGGGATCGAACCCGAGAATGCAAGCGTACTACCTACTCGGTCATCAGATAGCTGATCAGACCGTTTTCCATGTTCCTTATACACCATATAGCACAACTAATCTTTGCGAGCTTAATTCAGACATCGCATCTTGCGCATCTCAGCTTCGACCCCCGCAGGGTTAAGACTCGATCGGAAACGTTACCATTAGATTTTCATATTACTTGGGAGAAATGGAGGATTTGGTTTGTATCTATGGTGAGCTCCGGGTTCTATCCCCATTTGGGTTAATGGGCCTTGATCTGCCAATAAACGGTTGAAGAACTAATGTCATTTTCTTNTTTTCTTTAAACATCTCTTCGAATTATTTGCGCTTTGGTTAATTCCATAATACACAATGGGATTAATTTCAATTTAGGAAGGAATCAGTCTTGTCCATTGCAAAGAATAACTGAATTGAAAAGCTATAAAACAATTCAAAGAAATTTTTATGCCAAAATGAAAAGATTTCAGTCAGTTTATGCGACAATGAACCTGACGGTTTCGCGTTTCGATTGTGATCAATATGCATCCGTGACTCGTCTGGTTAAATAAGGAATAAACGTGCAAGATTAAACAAAGAGCTAAGGATAGGTTAATACAATAGAATAAATGTAATAAGTGATAATCTTTAGAATTATGGGATTCTATGGCACTTAACTGAACATTCGCAAAGCTGCATTTTAGACGAAAGTTCTGTTAGGATCTTTTGAATGCATAAGGGAAAATTATGGTGATGGGATAGGTAGTGCTACCGAGCACCGCAGTTTTTTATTCTACTAATGGATGCTTCGGAATTGTGATAAAAAACAGATGCTTTGTTCTTTAACAAGACCGG